GTTGAAAACAGTGTAGTTGTGACGTAATTACCGGAAAAGTCTATTGCGTGTAGACATGCCCCAAGTCTCGATGGAAGGGTTTTGATAGGGTCTATCCAGTTTATTGTGAGATCAGTTTTGAACTTGAAACGCAGAGTTCAAAACTGATCTCATAATAAACTGGATAGAAGTTTAAAACTGATCGCATAATAAACTGGTTAGACCTTGTCAAAACCCATTCGAGCGAGACCTGGGGCAAGTCTAAATTACGTACGACAAAAATCTCAGTGTGCGAGAAAAACTGATTAAGGATTTTTGTTACTGGTGCCATGAATAACAAATATCAAAACATGTTTCGTACTTTCTGTCATTCGTGACATAAATACCTAGTGTGCGGCAAATAGCTCATCTCAACTTTTCGCAACAAAGAAGTGCGCATGTCGCATGCGTGATATTCCCCAAAACAACGTGCGCACTTCTTTGCTTTTTTCTGCCTAACAAAACGCCTCGGGGCATTCCCATGGTCATTTGCTTTATACTTAATTTTCATCGCATTCCCATAAATCATTGCACAAATAAGCAATGTTAGGGACTGTGGAAGAGTCCGCGTTTGATCATGTCTCTAACATAAATTGGACTACTTCTTTTAAAATTAAATAAGTCCGACAATATTGTCAGACCAAAATAAAAATTCTGTTAATATTATCTTCGCTATGATTGTTTGTGGTGTTACTCTGAGTGTATATCTTCTCTACGTACACTGGCACCAACCAGTCCATCCCTCAACATTTTTCCATGTTGTTTATATCCCACGTAATGTGTTGTATAGATTACGGTGCGAACGATTACACAGCAATAGAGCATGCGCATTATGATATTCTAATACATATGAAAACGAATGACAACGACCATGAAAAGTGAGACATCTGCTCGGAAGAAAGTTCACTGTGTTCATTTTAGATGCCATTTGATGTCAGTCCCAGTCCCTTGCGCAATTGTGACGCATTTCACTCAGTGAGCTCTACATATATCTGGAGTAAGAATTTCAGCCATTCGGCCTATGAGAAAAGTGAATCCAAGATGGCGGAAATTGACGTCCAATATCTATGAAGGTCGTAATATATATATATATATATATATATATATATATATATATATATATATATATATATATATATATATATATATATATATATATATATATATATATTGATGTTAATTTAGTATTTACAGCGACATTAGCTTGTACAAAAAGGGTACTTTTCATCGCAAAAAAGGGCACTTTTAGTCCTTTGAAAAATTTGGAGGGGGGGGGCACGTCCCCCCCCCCCCGGTTCCTACGCCCCTGGCAACAAGTCCGATAAAGTCATGATATAACAATATTGTTACAACCTTGTGTCTTGTACCATCTAGGTATGTTTTCCTGGTAGTCAATCTATGATGACGTGGGGATTACTCGTTGTTGCCTTGGTTTCCGTGGTAACCATCTCATTTTTGGCGGGCATATTTTTGCTACTGGCACAAACAGCCGTGATATTCCTTTGTCCTTATTGGCTCGTTCGTCTTCAGAGATATAAAGAGTAAGTTCTAACATTAAGGCCATGTTACACGCAGTGGCGTAACGGAGGAAGAGCGGGCATATTTGGTGTGGGGGGCCCTGTTGACATTGTTTGACTAAGATATTATATTTATATTGAATATTTATAGAATGTTCTGGAAAATTCCGTGGCAATAACAATAACAGTCTCCAATACATGTAACAACTAATTAATAAGAACAACTTTTGTTTTATTTTTAAATGGCATAAAAAAATCAACTACCGTTGTCGATGGAGGCTTTATTATTTATAACATTTATATTAATTTTGCATTTTCCCATTGGCATTGATTCTTAACCTGCATTTTTTACGTTTTCTAATTTTCTGGGCGATAGGCCGTGACTGATGGGGCCCCTAAAGCCTAGTTTCCATTTGGTCGTTAGTTGTCGCTGGCACGACTGGACAAGTGGCTGATGTAATAGAGTGTCGACAAAACTTTACAAAACTCTGCAATCATTAAAGGCCATGTTACACGGTGCAATTTTTCTTGCAACTTGCAATGCAATTCTACTTTTGAGAGATGCTAATTAGTGAAATTAGTGAAGCATTTTCGATATGTTGAGAAAACATCAGCGGAGTGTAATGAAGACTCGTATTTGGCAATTTTACATCTCTCAAGAGTAGAATTGCATTGCAAGTTGCAACAAAAATTGCACCGTGTAACATGGCCTTAAGACTGATTTGCATATAACACACAAAACGACAATTATTTTATTAGACTATTTCACATCTACCGCTTGTCGTGCCAGCGAAAACTAACGAGCAAATGGAAACTAGGTTTAACTGTCGTGGGCTAGTTTTTGAACTAACCCTTTACCCAATGAGTGTTGCGCCACTGGTTACACCAGGCAATTCTCACTGCAAGTTGCAACGCATTTCTGACATAGAGCCATGTTATCTAAAAGGTATAGTCGCCCGACATTCTGACCATGCCCGCATGGTTTGTTCCAAGGCCAAACGAAAAATTTCACGAATTACGGTACGTTGACCCAAAAGTTAATGAAAATGTAATGTCCGGAATTTTTTTACAATTAACAATTGGGTCTTGTTGTCTAATTGGCCTGTCATCGTTTTGGTTTTTTTCTGGGGGGGAGGGGTATTGGGCAGGAATTTATTATTCTACTTTTTGTAACTAAAGGCCATGTTGCACGGTGCAATTTTTCTTGCAACTTGCAATGCAATTCTACTCTTGAGAGATGTAAAATTGCCAAATGCGAGTCTTCGTTCCACTCCGCTGATGTTTTCTCAACATATCGAAAATTTTTCACTGATTTCACTAATTAACATCTCTCAAGAGTAGAATTACATTGCAAGTCGCAAGAAAAATTGCACCGTGTAACATGGCCTTAATGTATTATCAAAAACTTTTTTGAAAATAATTTTGAAACAAATGATAGCGATATTACATTTATTAAACGACGAGTTCGATGCTACAGCGTGTATCATTTACATCATCATCATCATTTTACTATAACTTGAAAAGGATGCACGCTGTAGCAGCGAAACGTCGTTTAATAAATGTAATAGCCTATATTTCGCTTTTAAAAGGGGTTTACACGAGGTTGTTTTCCATTTCATACAATTCGTTTCCGATCGTTTGCGTAAGAGATATATAGTCACAGTGAAGACATGTTGTGCATTTAAGTAAAAACTTTTGAAGACTGCAACTATTGAAGACTGCATCTTTTGTAATGCCAACTATACCTAACAATACTAGATTCCCCTTATTACGTTTTCGTAGCGCTTTGCATTGTGGTTATAATGGTATCACTGATATTCAAGATGGCTTATTTTTTGTCCTGACCCGTGCAAGAACTTTTAAAAAAAGCTAGGGTCAAGTGCGCGATAGCCAACAGCAAAATATTCGCGAAAACATTCAATATTTTCATTCGAGGCCGCTATCTTTATCAGTGATAACACTATAACCACAATGCAAAGCGCTACGAAAACGTAATAAGAGGAATAGACAATTCCCATTATAGACTAATTTTCAAACTAGGCAAGGAGATGCAAATAAATCACCACAGCTAGAAAGAGCATACTAAAATTAGTAAAATTACAAAATTTGGTTGCGAAATGTTGTAAAATGTGGAAAATATAGCCTTGCAAAGTTTGCAAATTTTGTATACTTTTAATTGTACTGCGTGCGACCATTTTCGGCCTAAATGCATGGTAGGAATGTGGTAGGAATTTCCGCAAGCAATACAAAAGTATACAAAGTTAGCGAACTTTGCAAGGCTATATTTTCCTCATTTTACAACAATTCGCAACCAAACTTTGTAATTTTACTAATTTTAGTATGCTCTTTCTAGCTGTGGTGATTTATTTGAGTTTCCTTGCCTAATTTTAAAATTAGTCTATAATGGGAATTGTCTATTGTGAATTTATTTACAGCAACATACATGGTCCTTGGGATGAAGCCGTTATATCAACCTGACTGGAAGAGCTGCTGGATCTATTAAACAGGTAGGCTTTTCTCTTTGTACTGATGGGCGATTTTGCCCGCCTCGCCTCCCTAATTTTCGTTGCCCGCACCTCAACCCCAAATACGCAGGCTAAGCATATGCCAGCAGGGTGATGATAACCACAGTAGCAGGCGCTTTGTAAAGTGTTGCTCCTTTAATACACTTTTTAAAATTGAAAGGTTTTTGACTTGAACATGAATTCTTGCACAACAATTATTTGTTGTCAATTCTGTACCACCAATGGCGAACCATCGCAATGGCGGATCACTCATTGTGAAGTTCAATATCTGCCATATTGAAACGTCATTGTGACATTGGCATTGTTGCCGAAATGGCTGGAATTTTTAAATAATTATTCCTCACCGCCAACGGAATATTTTAATTATTGACTGCTTTCATATACAAAGAGTCTTTGTATTCCGCACGATGTGGGTAAATATCGAAATTATGGCATCTTCTATTTTACTCTGAGTGTGTATCCACATCGGGCAGGCTTAGCCTGCAAACAGGCGTTTATAGGAGACCCCCTGTTCGCAGGCTACGGTCAGGTTGAAAAGTTTGCCTGGCCACGGTGGGAATCGAACCCGCTACCTTTGGGAAACTAGTCCAATGCTCTGCCATGATTATAAGAGCACATTGGTATTGAAGGTACTAGATTTAGTTCCGAAATACCACACACTCGATCCGACTTGACCTCGTAGCTCAGTTGGCAGAGCATTGGACTAGTAATCGCGGGTTCAATTCCCACCGTGGTCATGCAAACTTTTCAGTCTGCCCGGTGTGGATACACACTCAGAGTAACATCAGAAACATTATATTCACCTGAGTACACAGGGCCGCCGAGAGGGGGGGGGGGCAAATTGCCCCGGGCCTCCTATAAATTTTTTGTCGGGCCCCAGTCATTTTTTGGGTGAAATATTTCCGCGCAAAGGGCAAGATATTTGGGTTTTTTGGGCAAAGTACCGAAATTTGATATATATGAAAAATTGAGGTAAAGTCGCCGGAAAGCAATTACAACGTACTCGTCCGGAAAATTTTTTTCCCTAAAAAGTTGTCGAAAAAATTTTTTTCCCGAAAAAATTTTGATATAGTGGCCCATAAAAAAAATTTGGCCCGGGCCCCCGCCAAGCTCTCGGCGGCCCTGTGAGTACATGGTATCAAAACACATACAAAAAATATCTTCTATTTATCGTCATTTCCGTACCACCAATGTGAAATATTGAAACGCCATTGTTTCCGAAATGGCTGGAAGTTTAAAAATTACTAACAGCCGTTCCTATGGTAACGCTGACGTTTTAATATGGCAATTATTATTGAACCTCACAATTGGTGGTCCACCCTCGCGACTGCCTTTATGTATACTAAGAGTCTTTGTATTCCGCACGATAAGCATTAATGAAAACATTATATTAAGTATAATAAAAATTATTAAATGCAAAAAATTCCACCAGAATAGCATCACCTTGGTATATATACATGAACTTGTGGTTAGAGCTCGACAACTGTCCTCTGTAGTTCAGTAGGTTGGAGCGATGCACTGGAATCGCAGGGCCGCAGTTTTAATTCCTGTGAGAGGGCCGATATAGTTGCATTTTTCGTAACGTAATCGTAACGTATCTAATAAATGACAAAATATATCAAAATTCCACTCGAAATTTCCATCTACAGATCCCTTATAAATAATAACTGTATAGTTGATGAAGCATACGTTTTTAAATTAGCCATTCCGAAGTTGATGAGTGGACTGGGGACGAGTGTTAAAAAGTGCCCAAATTAAGAAATGAACCAAATCACTAAAAAGACCACCTCAAATTAAGTATCCAAAGTTTGAAGACGTTTACACGAATACCCTTCGAATAATAAGCTTTCGAAAATTGTGAAATTACTGATCAAAAAACTGTTTTTGGGACATTTCATAGTAAATTTCGCGATTTTCGAAAGCTTATTATTCGAAGGGCATATCATGTAAACGTCTTCAAACTTTGTATACTGACTAATATTGAGGTGGTCTTTTTAGTGGTTAGGTTCATTTCTTAATTTGGGCACTTTTTAACACTCGTCCCCAGTCCTCTTATCAACTTCGGAATGGCTAATTGCACATACTGATATAGCCAGCGGTAATTCGTGACAACAGTCGCAAATTTTTAATGATTTGTATGATTGTTCAAACCTTTAGAAATGTATTGTCTTAAAACCTATTTTAGATGCACGAGTTTATTACCATAGCATGACTAGTTGCCATGGCTACCTTCGCCATTGAGTGACAAGCGCAGTGGGGTGTTCAACCACTCAGCCACTTCAAAGTCGCAGTCTGAAGGATCTAAATTTGTTTCAAATTTTAAAGTTTCCTTCTAAAGTGTACAACGTCGTAGAATACAATTCATCTCAATTGTCGCATTTAATATATAATTCCAGTACATAATTATCATGAT